TAAAACGACGTAAACCTTCGCCTGAATTCTTCTTACAATCGACAAGAAGATTCGGACGAAACATAGTGGTCCTTCGAGCCGGATATTTCGGCACAAATTCAAATCGATCAGTACAGTGCGGTATAGCGAGTGTGTGCAACCCAGTTCATACCAACAAGCAGACAATGGCAACCACAAGCGGGGAAGACCTACGAACACTCATCAAGCAACGAGCCATCTTCAAGGGACAGTTGACACAATTCAATAATTAGTTGACCAATGACCACACGAACCCAGATCTCGAAAAACTGAAGGCAAAGCTGGAACGAATTGAACAAGGATTCGCCCAATTCCAAACCATCCATGTTGCCATCGAAATGAGCGACGCAAATCAATCCACCGAACGAGAAACGATCGAGGAGCTGTACGACGACCTAGTCGCATCAGAAAATAGGGCCCTCAAACCAAGCTGCAATGTCACACCGGCGGGCCCTTCTCCCACAAACTCGACGGATACAGCGGACAGCAGATTAAAACTACCCAAGCTGGACTTACCCACCTTCGACGGGAAGTTAGAGAAATGGCTCTCATTCAAATCGCAATTCCTCGCACTCATCGACAGTCAAGCGACGTTATCAGCGACACAAAGTCCGCTACCTGCGTTCGGCACTAACGGACGAAGCACTCGACGTTCTGAATTCGCTGGATCTGTCAGGAGAAAACTACACGCTAGCCTGGGAACTACTAAACCAGAACTACGGTAATATCCGTTTCGTCGTATGGCGTCACGGCGAATTATTATTAAATACCCCCGCCATTGAAAGAAATTCTGCAACCTCTATCCGTCGGTTCAAAAACTGCGTGCGGCAACATCTCAAGGCCCTAGAGTCGTTAAAACAACCAGTGGACCAATGGGACACTGTGGTGATCATCATCAATAGATCGCGACATCCGGATGGAGTTTGAGCAAAAATTGGGTTCAGCCGGCAACATCCCGACCTTGGACACCTCGCTGAGCTTCCTCCTGGAGAAGGCGAGATATCTAGAGGCCGAAGAGAAGTACCTGAAACCAGGAGTCGGCACAAAAACGAGGCCTGAACCCACTAGTGCGAGCAAGCCCCCAGTAAAAAGGGTCCAAACCTTCGCCACATCAACAAACGCAATCTTGTGTCCCATTTGCAGCAGCAACACGCATCGAGTTTACGAATGCGAGAAACTTACGAGCAAAACCGTACCCGAAATAGAAGAGCTTGTTCGGGAGGCTCGTCTCTGCAAAAATTGTTTGCGCAAGGGACACACAACGATACAGTGCAGGTCCATCTCTTGTCGCATCTGTGACGGGAGACACGACTCGCTCCTGCACCCCGATCGGACACAGCCCAGCCATGAAAATTGACTAACAGTCACCGGAACGACGCTGCCTCCCTCACCATCTTCGCTAACTGCAAGCTTAGGAACTGAGGAATTGATGACTACAGCCAAGATCAGGGTGTTCGCCAAGGATGGGACTCACACCCTATGCCGAGCTCTTCTTGACACTGCATCTACGGCCAATTTCATCACGAGCGAGCTGGCAAACAAACTGAAGTTGCGCAAAAGGTACTGTTCCGTTCCGGTCAGAGCCCTGAATTCATTACACACAACCTGCAATTACTACACACAAGCTAGAATCCAATCAAACCACAACAATCTTACTAAAACACTCGACTTCTTTATCACGAATTCAATCTCAAAATTCACACCAACCAACACCATCAACCGCGAGCACGTCACCATACCTCGGAACATCAAGCTGGCTGATGCGGAATTCCACAAGGCAGCCGCAATAGACATGCTCCTCGGGTCAGGCCCAACCTTATCCTTGTTTAGTATTGGGCAAATCAAGCTACCGTCGGGCCCAAAGACCGACCTCATCCTGCAAAAAACACAGTTAGTCTGGGTCATCGGCGGGAGCGTTCCGAGTGGCGTCAAACAACGATCACAACCCTTCGAGACATTCAATTTACAGATTGAATTAGACAAATTTTGGAAGATCGAAGAGGGCAGCAACGAGCAACACCTGACTGCCGAGGAGCAGGCAGCCGAAGACCACTTCCAACGCAACACGACACGGTCTTCGGATGGCCGATATACAGTTGCTCTTCCCTTTAAGAACACCATAAAAAGTCTCGGCGACTCCAAGCAGATCGCCTTGAAACGGTTCCACACCTTGGAAACAAGGCTAGCCAAGGACCCGGAACTGAAGACCCAATACGAGTCAATAATGGAAGATTATGTCAGACTCGGGCACATGACGCTCTCTCACGACACCCAGCCGGGAGTCTACCTGCCCCACCACGCTGTCATCAAGGCCAGCAGTCAGGCGACAAAGATTCGTGTCGTCTTTGACGCGTCTGCAAGGTCCAGCTCCGGAACGTCACTGAACGATACACTGATGACTGGCTCGACAATTCAAGACGACATGCAGACACTGTTGCTACGATTCCGCCTTCACCAGTACGTAATCACGGGCGATATCGAGAAGATGTATCGGTAATTCTGGATACGCCCAGAAGACCGAAGATATCAACGAGTCATCTGGCGAGACAACCGGGGGAAGATACAGACCTACGAACTGAACACCGTCACGTTCGGCGTCTCAGCGGCTCCGTACCTGGCAACACGGTGTCTGAAGCAATTAGCCATAGATGAAGCCGATCGCTTCCCCATAGCATCGAGAATCGTTCAGCGGGATTTCTATGTAGATGACTTGATCACGGGCACTCAGACGAAACAAGAAGCCATCCGACTGAGGGAAGAACTAACGCAGCTTTTGGAGGTCGGCGGGCTACACATCCGGCAGTGGGCATCTAACGATGAATCCATACTACGGGGTCTGCCCGAGGGGACGGTCAAAGTCAATCTGTCCGAGCAAGATTCGACATACAAAACGCTGGGTCTGTTTTGGAATTCGACCACCGACACCATCACTTACTCGGTCAACCCGATCGACGTGGGCCATAAGATCAGCAAACGGACCATGCTCGCCCAGATTGCACGAATATACGACCCATTGGGACT